CCCGCCCTTCCCCGGACTGCGTGGGGCCCCTGAGCCGCCAGTTCCCCTTCTCCCTGGAGTTCGGCGAGTGCCTCCTCCTCACCCTCTTCGACAACGCCTACGCCTCCGCCTACGGCACCTTCCTCTGCAACAACGAGAAAGAGAGGCGAGTGGGGCGGGAGGTGGGGACAGCACTGTCCCTTAGGAGCAATGGCGCGGCCACCACTGTGCCCTCAGGGCAGACCGAGTTCGGCGAGTGCCTCCTCCTCACCCTCTTCGACAACGCCTACGCCTCCGCCTACGGCACCTTCCTCTGCAACAACGAGAAAGAGAGGCGAGTGGGGCGGGAGGTGGGGACAGCACTGTCCCTTAGGAGCAATGGCGCGGCCACCACTGTGCCCTCAGGGCAGACCTGGCTGTGGGCCGAGGAGGGAACAGAGCAAAGCCCTCCCGGTCACAGCTTGGCTCAAACTTGGCCCCACAGGGACTGAAACGCATCTTGACTCTCCCGTAGGTGCCTGTGTAAAGTGAGGGAGAGCACGCACTCCCTCTGGGCCTGGCTGAACCAGCCTGGCGAGAAGAAGAAGTACCTGAACCCTCTCTACTCGCACAACGCCCTGGTCATCTGGCCCTCCGTCGAGCCCCAGAGCATCCAGCTCTGGCAGGGTAAGCTGGGTCCAGTGCTCTCAAAACCCATCTTCAGCTCCGAGCTGGGCTGGGTGAGGGAAAGCTGCTCTGCTTTTCCCTCTCTCGACAGGGCTACGGCACCGCTGAAGTAACACACAGCCCCTTCTCTCCTAGGTTTATTCTTCCGATGGATCCGTTCATCCCAGCACCTGGACGAGGCCTGGGCAGAGACCCAGCGGTTAGTAGAGGACAACGACCCCCCCGTCAAGGACAGCACAGGGAACAGCCTGAGCCGGTCCCTCTCTGACCCCGCTGCCCGGACAGAGAATGAAAGATGAACGGCAGCATGGACGATTTTTGCCGGGCCAAGGTGACACTGCAGCTTTCCGTGGGAAGCACTGTGCAGGACACAGGCCCCGTGGAGCCCAGCGGACAGCTCTGGGAGGGGGGGACAGACTCCTTTGCACAGCCTCTGGGCTGCGCAGACTGAGCTTGTTTCAGTAAAGTGTTCTCTCTCGCAGCCCGCGCCTGCTTTTCGGCTCTTCCTCGCAAGCAGGGCTCCTTCCCGCTCTCTTCCCCAGCAGGATTTCAGCAGTGCTCGTACCTGGACCGCCCGCAGAGCAGAAGGGCAGGAGGCAGCGGGAGGTCGATGTGCCCAGCAGCATCGGCCTCCGGCAGCTCCCGCTGCGGCGTGCCTGGCTCGCAGCCCCTGCCCGGTTGGCACAGCAAAAACTAAGCGGCAGAACACACTAAACCCGCAACACCCTCTCCACAAAGGGCACGCTGGCTGCAGTTTAAGTGTTGCGTCAATCGCTCCGAGCTGGGAGCCAGGTCAGGAAATCTGCCCTTGAACCCAGTTTCGAGGAAGAGGTACAAACCACCCCTCCAGACAGACAGACACAGGGCGAGAGGGCTGGAAGGACGAGGATTTGCAACACAAGCGTTACTAGTGCAGGAAATAACTGTTCCATGAGGAAAGTTGGCTCAGGGTCAGTCCAGCAAATAAACAAAGCACCAGAACTGGGCGCGTGTGTGTCAGCTGGAAAACAATGACTGGCTGCTGCACTTCCAGCCTGTTGACACTTCAGGGCCGGACCTGAACTGCAGCTCCAGATCCTCCCCAGGAAAGAGTTAACCTGGGGCGGACAGAGGCCCCCGGAGTAACAGCACTGCTGTCTGCCCATGGGTGAGGAGCAAGGCACTGCCAACAGAGCCGGGAAAGCAAAGTGCTCAGGTTAATTTTGTTCCAGACCAAAAAAAAACAACTGCAGAGGTGCTTTTCTTTGTGTTTTTAAAAGATTTCTATTTATTTCCTGATGATTATTTTTTCTCCCCCGATGTATAAATATGCCCAGCAGGGCAGGAAGCTAGCAGGCAGCCAACCCGACGCCCTTCCTCGCCTTCACTCTACCTCCTGTGAAAGCCAGTCCTGACCTTTTGAGCCGGTTGGGTTTCTAGTTCCCCACCTTCACACAGCCCCCGAGTTTGCTGCTAACTGCTTCCCGCTGCCTCCTGTGGAGCAGACTAACTTCAGGCCTTACAACACCTCCTTTAAGCTTCAAATTCAAACTCAAAGTACTGGGGATCGAAGTAATGGATGCGAACGTAGCCATCCTCACCCCCGCTGCTGTAACTGTACGGGAAGAAAAACAAGATAAAGTCACCGATGTTGTCAGGAGCTCACATGTCTAGGTTTATACCAGTATCGGAGTCTGTTGTCCCTTCTAAAAACTTATAAAGGAGTCGCAGGACAGAAAAAATATCAGTGACGCAGCCAAAATGTGCAACAGGGCATAAGTGAACCCCCTAGACAGCCTGAGGGGAGGCAGCAGGGCTGGAGTACGAGAATTAAGGAAGGTGCTGGCTCCATTCCCACTGCGGAGCTCCTGTGAGCCCAGCCATATCCCAACCAAAAGGTGGGCTAGGCTTGACTGGGGCAGCTGCAAGACCCACAGAGATCCTCACCTCTTCCCATCGGGGTGAAAAGCAACACTATTTATCGGACCGAAGTGACCCTTCACTCTGCCAAACTCTTCTTCAAAAGCCAAGTGGAAGAACCTGGGAGAAGGAAGAAGATTTAAATTATCACGAGAAGTCAGGAGCCTGGTTAGGGACACAATCAGGGTTTCCTCAAAAAAGCTCTGCAAGTTTAATGATTCCTCCAACACTGCCAGGAGCAAGATGCTCTGGGATGAGCACTCCTACACTGTCAGGAGTCCTCCAGGTGAGGACTCAGCCCTGCCAGAGGAAAAAGACCAACCTCGCCTCAAATTTGCCAATCCTGGTGGAGGTCGTAGTCACATCCATGGCCTCTTGCCCGCCACCAAGCACGACCTGCAAAGGAGAGAAGCCACAACACTCCAGCCCTGCTTACACCACACGCTTAGTGGCAGCCAGGAGAAAAGAGCCAAGCCTTGGGGAAGGCTCCTACTAACGCAGCAGATCCCACAAACTCATGAGCAGGCCTGACTCCAGCCCCAGAGAATTTCCCACCTCCCAGATGCACTTGTTTGAAAATCAGAGGACACAAAGCCTTGTTCCCTGCATCAGACTGCAGTAAAGTTCCCCAGACCCATCCTACAGTCATGTTTTTTAGCTGGACTGGCAACGCTCTGCCTTCCAGCTACCCGGGACAATGCAGGAGTCACAGTTAAGAACGTTACAATGAATGAGCTCATTCTTACATGATCAAAAATGGGGGACAGCGCGGCGGAGTTCACTGGTCGCTCCGTCCGGAATGTCTTCAAATGCTGAAGTGTCGTGCAATCGAATAGCTAGAAGGTAAAAGGGAGACTGTTACTCTGCAAAAAGGCTGGCAGCCCAATTAAGTCACACAAACCTGGCCGCTAGTCCTCACCTGGGCAGATGTTAGCCCTATAGTCACTCATGGGCACCCAAATCCCAAAACCATTTCTCCAGAATCCCAAAATACCGGCCTAAGGTAACTCTCACCACTATCACCTTCCAGAGGTAGCAAACTGAAGATATATTTTGGCAATGTTGTTTTCAATGCCTGGCCGTTAATTTAATGTGGTGGCACCTCCCCTTTCTCACTGAACTTTCCCTCTAAGCTTTGACTTTCCACTTACTCAAACATCTAAGGAGCGAACCTCTGCGATAGCCACGGCTCTGAGCAGAAATCCTGCAAGCAAATATCAACAGTCCACTGCATGTCTGACAGGAGGCCTCACCTTGGCTGTGTTGTCCTTGGAGGCAGTGATGAACATGGTCATGTCCCTGGAAGTCTGAATATCGTTGATTTGCTTGGTGTGCTCCTTGATGTTTGAAAGCTGCTCCCCTGACTGGAGGGTAAAGAAGGCAGTTTCAGCATGCCGGCAAGTGAAGTGAGCGTACACGCAACTTCCCCATTAAAAACAGTTTAGGAGATGTTGCTGTCAGCAGCAGGGCAGTCGTTGGTACATCAGCCTTGCTCAAGGGAGCCGCATATTTTAACTACCCTTCCATGAGGCTGCTGGTTTGAGCCAAAAAGCCCATATTCTGTCCCATGATCACAATAGGAACGCTGCGATATCCTCCCCCAGGCACTGCTGCCCAAGGGAGATGCTGTTCCTTATCAGACTGACCTTGGCACTGAACTGGTTCAGCTCTCCGCTCTCATGTCCTGCAATGATGAACTCTCCCAGAGGGCCCCACACAGCACTAGTGATTTTAGAGTCACTGCAGGGGATTTTCATGTAAGGCTCGTTGTTCTCTGCAGGAAGGAAGGAAGGAGACAGGCAGACAGACACGGTGGCACCGGCTCCAGCGATCAACGCTTCCCCTTATTCCCTGGTGCAGGAACTGGCCCGGATTCCTCACCAATCTGGCTGGGGTCCCGGAGGTCAAAGAAGCTCACAAAACACTGATATCCCATCTGCTTGTCCGTGGAAAACATGATGATGTTTCCTCCAAAGTCGAAGCCACACGTCCTCACCGCTGAGCTGGTCTTCACCAGAGCGAGCTGCTTTCCTGAACACAGAGCAGAAACCGTCAGTCCCCTCACCAGGTCTTTCACTGCGAGGTTAATGAAAACGAGCAGCTGAACGGCAGGGTCAGAGCGAGGATGAGAGCATCGGGCGTAGCTGACAAGCAGGTTCAGTGACCTGCAAGCACTAACCACACATTTTGACTACTTGGGCGGTAAAGCGCGTAAATTGACTAAATATTCCATAGAAATCAGGCACATACACAAGCCCTCCCCTCCAGCAGTCCGAGTTAGGAATCAGACTTCTTTCAGAAGGGGGAACAAGCACACGTTACACTGCCACCACGTCCTCCAAGCTTAGCAGACTTCACGGCAGGACAGAGCTGTGACTCAAACACAACTACGTGGGAAGAGAAGAGTCTTACCCGTTTCACAGTCCCAGAGCCGACAGCTGTTATCTGCAGAGCCGGTGAGCACATGTCGTGTGTCCCCTAGGCCACCAGTTAGGGAATATCAGCGTGTTCTCAGCCCCAAAAAGCTACTGTCTAAATTCCCAGAGAATATTTATACACAAGATTATAAAGCCGTATTACACAGAGATTGGACAAGTTCCATTCCAGGACCGGCAATACTCCTGTACAGACAGACACGGAATCCAAGCGCTCCCATTACAAACCCCACAACTTTCCTCTTGAATTATTAAAGAAAAAGGTTCTAGCTCTTACATTAACACAACCTTTGCACATTTTTATCTCCGCCACCTGCTGCCCACACTGGAGACGGAAGACCTTGTGCGACTCAGACACCTTCCCTGAGCTCCCAGGGCCACCACCGCAATGAAGCACAAACAAGAACAGACGGGGCACACTGCACATGTTATTCCAAACAACAGCCCGGGAAGAAAAACACCCAAAAGATGGAGTAAGGGAAAGACAGCAAAGAGTTAAATGCACTGTATCACCCCCGTGCTCTTCTTCAAGAAGAAACAGTGCAGCAATTGGGAGGAATCACCTCAACGGAATCATTGTAAAGAAAAATACGGGACAGACAAACCGGTTTCTGCGATCAAAGGATACAGTCTGCATCCACGCACCAGACAGCTCCTGTGTGGCCATTGTAGGGCCCGAGCCTCTCTCCATTCACCGAATACCAAACATTGACAATCTGGGAGAAAAAAAAAACCAAGCACCTCTCTTACCAAACGGATTAATTAATGGGACTGACGAAGAGCCGGTCAATTATGGCGGTGAGGGCCGGTTTTCACCCGGGGGGTGATTCACTCACGGGATCCTTGGCCACGGTGAAAAGCAGGTCTCCCTCCCGGTTGTACTTGATCTGCGTGATGGAGCGCTCATGGCCCTGCAGCAGGATCGGCTTCTGCGAGGGGGAAGACGCCATTTAATGCCTCAGGCGAGACGCGGACGCAGCCCCCGGCCCGGGGCTCCCGGG